GCTGCATCCTTTAGAGGAGATAGACTTTTGGGTTTGTGCCAAGGGTCTGCAGGACGCCTGCCGCAACTCACAAGCCCCCTCCTCACTCTTCTCCACACCTTCCTCGGGCCCAGACGGCACTACCAGCTCTTTTTTGGTGGATCCCCGTCTGTCTGCAAGCGCCGTTGTAGGGGCCGCCCTCTCAGCACCTCCGAAGTGCCACACCTCCTCTCCTCCACCTGTTCCAGACAGCGCTGCTGCATCCTCCCCGGTGGGCTGTCATTCCGCCTCATCCTCTGTTTCTGCCAGCGCCATCCCCACACCCTCACCTGGTTCTGACAGCGCCTCCCCTTCCTCTCCGGTGGGCTGTATCTCATCCGTTGTACCTGCCGACGTCATCCCTGCACATCCGAGGAGACGCACTTGTTATAAACGTCACCACCATCACCAGCACTCTCCTGAAGCCAGAAGTCGACGCCCCCAGGCCAGAAGTTGTGTGTGTGTGTGTGTGTTTGGGGGAGGGTACATTGGAACTTTGTCCCCCCCAGTTTGAAAATCCCATCTGCGCCCCTGGTATCAATCACTCAGTAGGGGAGCAGATTTCATATGATGACATTATTGATGACTTTGTATCAAGGTTAGGTTTTAATTCTAGTTTGTGTTTTCTGTTCGAAGTGCAATGCTGTAGTGATTCCACGTGGAACCGCCACTGCTTTGTATGATTTGTTTAATTAGTGTCGTATCAACGTCAGAGCACTCTGTGGATGACATTTTTACAACGTGTAACTGTGTCCACTACTTCTGCTTCAGTCACACCAGACAGGAACGTTGTCTTTGAATTCCTTTCTATTTGCGTGAAATGCTCTTTGACTCTTACAGAGATGTTTTTTTTTTTGCCAAATCCGCCCCAACATTGACAAAGAACTTATTGAAACTATCAGCAATTTCTTTCTTCTTATAAATGTCACTTTTTTATCAACAAAATACTCTGGATATAAACTCTGGTTATGAAGGACGTTTTGAATCCGGTTTAATTATACTATTTAATATATTCCATACCCTTTTACTGTCATTCTTATTTTCATTCAATAGGTTGGTATAATATAATTTACTAGTTCTTATTGTATCAGTTTAGTTTTATTTCCATGTTCAAATTCATCAATCCTTAATCTAATGAACTCTCTATCATGTATTTTTCTTTTTACAAGCATTTTGTGAACTCTTTGTTAGCCATGGGGTTTTTATTGCAGTTATTTTTACTAATTTGACAAAATGGACAGTTTCTGTGATGTGATAAATATTTCTACAAATTAATCCAAAGCACAATTTCTCATTCTATACAGTTTTCTAGTCTTGTTCTGTTAAGTTTAAGTACAATGAGTTAATCGCTTCCTCAGCTCTGAGTTGTCTATAGACAGGTTTTTAGATTTCTAGTAGTCAAATATCTCATCATACAGCATGAAGACTGGAAGATGGTCAGTTTTGTCACAAATCATTAAACAACTCATATTTGAGGATTTCATGTTGTTAGTGAAAATATTATCAATAAGGGTTGGCCAGGGGCGCCCCCAAGGGTTGGCCAGGGGTGGCCCACTAGAAAATTACTAGTCCCCCCACCCCAGGAAAAGCCTGTGTTAATAAATCATATTAATGTTCAGTCAAACCATAAATTGATCTTATTTAATCAAGACATAATTGTAAAAAATAAGAAAAATAATACAACTAATGAGTAAAGAAATTATCAGAATAAAAAATACGTGTTTCTGCTGCTCACCATTTATAAATGTTTTTATCTCCATGATTTTTTAGTGAACACAGCAACAGGTGAATTAACCTAAACTACATTTTTTAATTTAAAGAGATCATAATGTCCCCCTCAAGAGTCTTACTCCACCCACGTATCAATTTTAAAAACTGCAACATTAGTAGGCGTTGCCTGGAGGACCGAGAGGGCGGAGCCGCGGCAGTGACGAAGACGATGGCTAACTAGACAATGCTAGCTCCCTTCACTCTGAGCAGTCATTAGAAGTGGAGGAGGTTTCTCCCCCTCCTTACCCAGACACTCGAGAAGAAAGGGACCAAGTCTATTTGGAGGAGACAAGGCTTTATTCAATAATACAAATGAGTTTTAACTCTTTGATGCACAAATTATTAAGTCTTACTTACACCATGACTTTTTCACTTTTCATCCATCTTTAGGTGAATGAAACCAACTTAAACAATTTCTGTAACATTTAATAATTTACAAATAACTTATTCCATTTTATTTTATTCATAAGGCACATTTCTACATGGCCGAAACTGTTGGTCTTTTCTTCTGTGAGACCAGACGGGTACGGAGCAAATGGAGAGAAAACCTATTGTTGGTAGAGTGGAGTCAATAATCAGAAGGATCGATCTGTTTTCGCCGCTGCAGAGGGAGAAACACAGCCACAGCTGGACCCGCGCACAGCCCTTCACTTGCTGCAACAAGTGTTTCTGAAGCTCTCTGACCACGCAGCTGTATTTTGCACCTGCATCTACACACGTCATTAGTCTTGATAAGCAGGAACTAATTGCTTTGTTAGTCAGGAACTTATACATCACAAGGAACTAATACATCACAAGGTCATGTAATTCTAAGATAAGCAGGAAGCTTCCTTGCTAACAGACAGTTTTCTTGTACTGAGAGGAACTGAAATGCTTTCACTCCCTTTTTGTGCAGGAGAGAAATATGCAGCTGTTGAGCTTGTGCAGAAAAACACTGAGAGGCACTTCATATTATAACAGGATTCTTCCATAATGTAGAAAAGAGCATATGATAATGTAGAAAGGAGCGTATATGAGAGATACATATATTTTCAAAACCAAAGTGCTGCACAGTAACAGACATCAAAATCAACACATAAGAAAGTAATAAAAGTAGTACAGTAACAACTATAAAATCAACAATAACAATAAAACAGACGTCAACCTCTGTGGACAGCGTGTATTCTGGACATGAAATGTGTTGACTTGGCTTACTGAAGTACCAATGGAGGGGCTCAAATGCAATAAAGTCTCCAACAGCTGTGCTTAATAGCAAAAATTAATAAATAAACAACAATTCAGAGCCCCTGTCCACTGTGGTGACCATCTGTTCATGTGTTTAGAAATGTCAGCTTTACAAAAACAAAGTAAAGGAGTGATGCTGGCTCAGGGGTTAGTTTACCCTGTAAATGTAGGCCTGCTGGTACGAGTGTGCAGCGTTGTTTATAAAAGGAGGCAGTTCAATGTGCTTCACAAGTAGCCTGAAATGGCTCGACAACAAACATGAGATCACATAAATAAACACTTAACTTTGTAAACGCGTCTCTCTCCACCTAGGTGTGCTACTTTCCCTCTGGTTAACACTCGTTTACGATGCGTACGCTGTCCCATACAGTGGACCCACACAGTCAGGTGACATAGGTGCAATGGGCAAAAACAATAAGGGAGATGGAGGGGGAGGAGCTAGGGCTGGGCGATATGGCAAAAATAGAATATCACGATTTTTCCAATATTTTATCACGATTTTGATTTTATCACGATTTTTTATCCATGAATAGCATAACTTCAATTGCGTATTAAAGAAGAGAAACATTGAATAAATAAACATTTATTCATATTAGGGATAATCAGCACAGTGCTAACACACTTATATTTTAAACTCACACCAGAGATGATAAAAGCCCTGAGAGAAACAATTACAAAAATCAGTTTTTCTCGTGTTTCAAGTAACTTAACATAAATTAAAATTGTAAACATATTTAAAGTGCAAACATGTCAATTGCAAACGTATTGTGCAAACTTTAACTTGTTCAAAATACTATGTAGCTCCCAATTGCTCATGTAGTGGATAGTTAAGCTCAAATACGGCTCTGATGTGCGGCTGGACCAGAGATCGCTTGTGGTAGCAAAAAACTGCACATTCTGAATATTTTCTGCAACAAGTCTCTAAATAAAGTAAAAATTTCCAGTGCAGAGTGGAGACAACCCATAGAAGCACTGATTTGATCTCATTTCAGAGAAAAATAGAACAGGTTAGATGCACCTAATAAATAAAATTACTAACAAACTCAGGAATCTTTCTTTGCTTCACTGTTCTGATGCTGAAAACATCACTAATGCGGATCAAAGGAGATACATGGATGAATGCACCTCTTATTTATTATTTGGAGACTACATTTACTGCAGCTGGCAGAGGCAGAGATTGTTTCTATTGATACACGGAGTTTACAGAATCATTTTAAATGTTAATAGGGGAAGACTGCAGGAGGGAGCGGTAAAATACAGGGGGTCCCCAGCAAACACAAGAATCTTTACGAGTCTGATGAAACCCGCTGGTTTTCCATCAGGCAGTCACGGGGCAGCTTCAACGACCCAGTGACCGAGCTCAGTCCGGTACCGACACCGGCTCGGCAGAGGGTGGACGAGCCGAGGCGGCGGCGTGCTCTGCTTAAGAAGCGGTGTTATTTTCCTGCTTCAGAAGAAGCGTCCAACGTGTTTTTACGCTTTCTCCGAGACATGTCACGTCACTAAGTTGTTAGCGCCGCGCGCAAAGGAAACCCTGCGTTCCTCTTCGGAACGAAAACCTCGTTGTCGCTCAGCGGCGGCGAAGCCATGTTTGTTCACACACAAGTGAAAACAAGCGGGGCACTAATATATTACTATGACTCACTCTGATTGGTTAAGGGTCAAACAAAGGCGTGTCATTCGCCTGAGGTAAGTTCCATTTTCATTCAGAGGCACAAATTCAACAGCAGAGCTGTGAATCGTGATAAAAAGGTCTCTCAAAAATGACAGACCGTCAGATGTGTAGATCGTAAAACGGTCTAAAATCGTCATATCGCCCAGCCCTAGGAGGAGCCACCACCACATTTGGACAGCCTGAGTAAATACTTTATTGGTCCTCTTGACGTAATTATTGTCCTAAATAAATGTACCAGCCGATAATTATTTCACAGATGTTACTGCACACACTCACAGTTCAAATCTAGCTGCTGGTGGACTGAAACGACTTCTCACACAGTCGGATTAGAACCGGAGACCCGTTGGTAAACAGAAGGTCCCTGTCGATGAGGATCCTCAGGTCGGCATGCTCTTCTTGTGAAAAGCTTGCTGACATAACCACCTATTCTTCTATGCATCACCACGACCACGACCAGGACCACCACGACCGCGAACACGACCAGGCGCACGACGTCGAACACGACCACGATTTTCTCCATCATCTCCATAACGGTTACTCCCACTGCTCCAAAGTGTTCTGAGAAGAGAGAGAAAACCATAGTTAGTTCATGAATGGAGAAGGAACATAAGTCAGAAAACACCTGATTCCACACAACACAGTTGAGAACATATGTAAACACTGGGCTGAGCTCAGATGAGTCAGGCATGTAAGGAAACGTAAGGAAACGCCATCAGGGGAGCCGTCTGCCCCAACAGCAGCAGAAAGGACACCAACACAGGGCACCCAGAGGAGGGAGGCCGAGGGCCCCCGCCTACACCCAAGCACCAGCCGGAGGGCACCGAGGCCGCTGCCGCCGGCCACTGGCCCCCAAGGCAGAGGGCTCCCACAGAGGAAACGCTGTAAATTATTAGAATAAGTAAAAGAAAAAAAATAACGAGAGATAATATAAAAATAGATAAATAGTGATCAGTATGATTGTAAAAATAGTAATAGATAAGTAACAAAACTGTCTTAAAATATAAGCAAGTAAATCCTAAATAATCAGTTAAAGCTAAAAAGGTGGGTCTTAAAACATGAACATTCTCTACGGCCCTGAGGTCCTCTGGCAGCCTGTTCCAGAGACGAGGGCCATAACACTGGAAGGACGCCTCGCCATAGGTGTGCGTCCTGACTTTGGGATCACAAGGAGACGGCTGCCAGAGGAGCGTAGAGGCCGCGAGGGTTTGTATGGTTACAGCAGTTCGGAGAGGTAAGAAGGGCCAAGGCCATTAAGACACTTAAAAACCATTAAAAGAACCTTTAAATCGATCCTGAAACATACGGGGAGCCAATTCAAAGATACTTTATTAATCCCAGAGGGAAATGAGTTTCAGTACACACAATTCAGAGGTCAGACATGCATACATAGACACATGACAAGAATTGGTGACTGTGGTCATTCGCAACCCGAGTCGTGCTACCGTTATAGATCAAGAGGGGTTATATGAGGACAGAGTCAGGGTTAGGGGGACGGAAAAAAGGCACTTCAGAGTTACCCCCGACAAAGAGGATAGCTTTGCTATGCAAAAAAACACCTCAGACAAATAAGCAGACAGACTTCAGACGATACACAACATACGTGTCCACTAGGAGGGGAGGAAGGGTTGGGACTCTCCACACTTCCGTGCGTGCAGCTGCATAGCAGCGCTCATCACCTCCGTTTTGCACAGGGGAGGGAGAGAATGGGTTAAAGTGTATAGTGACTCCTGGATACGGGACCACGTCCTTCACCGGCCACAGTCCTTCCCAGGCTGGGATAGGGAGAAAGCGACGGCCACATTCCACATTTCTTCTGAGGGGGGAGTTTCCAATTCAGCCTTGCAGGCTTCAAGGACACCAGATTCAGATAAGAATTATTTTGGTTACAGAGATAATTTCCTCTCTGCCTTAGAGTCTTGTAGGTCTTCACCCCTCTAGTTCCAATAATGGCGTAAATCAATCTATCCCAATCCGTGCTGATCCGTCAACTCGCTTCTTGATGGAATCCACCTTCTGTGCCAGAGCCTGAATCTCAGCCAAAGTTCCAAGCTTACGACTCATCTCGACAATTATGAGTTTGTGTGTTCACAGCTTGATACATCCCATCTCTGAGCTCCGGGATTGAGCCAATATTCCTCGAAAGCTCATTGATTTTCCGGTAAGCCAGGTAACTGCTCAGGCCAAACAGCAGGAATCCCGACACCAAAACCACGAATATCCAGACATCTTCAGAATCCTCTACAGACAGTTGAGAAAGGCACATCATGTTCCACTGCTTCCAAGAGTCCATGATATACCCCGCTGGCTCTGTCCCAGAGGGGCAACCGGGAGCCCCTTCTGCCGTTCTCATCGTAGAAGAATGTTGTCAATCGTGTTGAGAGACCAGCTGACCAGATCCATTATTAATCATTTCCAGTTTCCAGAGAAAATGCAGAAGCGCTGTGCACTCAAAGACAGGACAAAGAGCCTTGAGATATGAAGGGATGGAGAGAAAAAAGCGTCTGTACTCTCCAAGAGCCGGAAGAAGCTATAAAATGATTCTAAAACCGGAGTGATGTCTTTTGTACGTTCTTGCTGCATTTGTCTTCTAATTCCATTTTTGGTTCTTTTTTAAAAACACAGGAAAGGTTTCTCTTTACCTTCCTGAAGTTTCGTTTGCGGCTGCAAACATCCTCAGAGCTGACGCTGATGGTGGCGCCACTTCCTTCGTTTATCCGCGGGCAGCAGAGGACGTTGTCGCCCTCTGCTGCCCGCTCTCCCGATGATGCAGTCCCATGCGCGATCCAATGAGTAAAGTCCATCGTCTCTGTTCATGGTCCCACATCCACGTCTCCTTATCTCTATAGCTTCTTTAATCCATCTTTTGTATTTCTGCTGTTCGGTGTTTATGATCCGTGTGTTGTCCCAGTCCATTATATGGTTTTCTCTTGTGCAGTGATCTGTTACGGCTGACTTCTTTATTGTACTTTCTGCTTCTTCTTTTGCTGCTCTTGTGTGTTTACGATTTGCCTCTTTCTCGCACTCCTTTCTGTGTTCTATTGTCCGTGTGTTGAGTTGGCGTCCGGTTTCTCCTACGTATGTTTTATTGCAGAGTTTGCATGGGATTTCGTAAATGACTCCACATTTAAGTCCAGCTGATATTTTGTCTTTTGGGTGCACTAGTCTGTTTCTAACTGTTGTGTATGGCTTTGTTGGTGTGTTTATGTTGTGTTTTTTCATTGTTGTTCTTATTTTTTCTGTTATGCCTCTGATGTATGGTAGGGTTATCACTGGTTTTGGTTCTTGTCTTTCTGGGTTTCTGGTTCTTTGCTTTGGTTGTTCTTTTCTTTCTGTTGTTGTTTGTTGTTTTCCTTTGTTTATCGCCCATGTCGGGTATCCGCACGTCTTTAAAGCGTGTTGTATGTGTTTGTCTTCTTGTTTACGGTCTCTCTCTTCTGTTATTATGTTTGCTCGGTGATATAATGTTCTGATTACTGACATTTTGTGTATGGTGGGGTGTTCTGATGTCCATAATAGATATTGGTCTGTGTGTGTTGGTTTCCTGTATGTGTTTATGTTTAGGGTCCCGTCGGTCTGCCTGGTGATTTTCATATCCATAAATGCTATGCTGCCTTCTGTTTCTGACTCATAAGTTAACTTTATGCTGCCTGTGTCGTCAATTGGGGGGGGGGGGGGGGGGGGTTCTAAGTCTTCCATGAAAAACTCACACAGGGTGGCTGATAACGGGTTACCCACGGCGAAGCCTTCCAGTTGTTTGTATATTGTGTTGTCGTATGTGAAGTAAGTGGAGTTAGCTACCAGTCCTATCATTGTGCTATGTCTGCTGTGAGGTTTGTCCTTTTGTGTAAAGTCTTGTCTTGTCTGATTCTGTTAACTACTATGTCTGGTTTTTTGGGTTGGTGTGTTTGTGAACAAAGATGTGACGTCATGTGAGATGAGTATGTCGTTGTCTTCTATTGTAATTTCCTTCAGTTCTTTTGCCAGTTCTATGCTGTTTTTGCAGTGTTGGTCTGTATTTCCTAATAACGGGCTGATGATTCTGCTGATTTATTTTGCCATGTTGTATGTTGGTGTACCTATGCTGTCAACTATTGGTCTAAGTGGGGTGTTCTGTTTATGTATTTTTGGCGTTCCATATATTCTTGGTGTTATGTTTGCTGTAGGAATCCAGTGTTTGTACATTTTTTCTGTTATTTTGCCTTTTTCGTGCAGTGGCTTCAGTAATTTTTTCATGTTTTTCTTAATGTTTTCTGTTGGATCTTTTTTAAGTATTTCATATGTATTTTTGTCCTCTAGCATCCGTTTCATCTGTTGTTTATATTTTTCTTTGTCCATAACTACTGTGGTTCTTCCTTTGTCTGCCGGTAGAATAATTATCTGTTCATTTTTAGATAAAGCTGTCATGGCTGATTGTTCTTCTTTTGTAATATTGTTGTGTTGTATTTTGCTGTTTTTTAATATCCCAACTACATTATTTCTGAGTTCTGCCTTCTTTCCCTCATCTGTGATCTGTTGACATGCTAGTTCTGTTGCTTCGATAATTTGATCACATGGTATTTTCTTTGGTGTTACTGTGAAGTTTAAACCTTTTTTTAATATGCTTTCTTCTGCTTCTGTTAGTTCGTATTGTGAAAGGTTACGCACCCATGAGCTTTGTGTGGTGTTATCTTGTTTCTCTTTTCTCTTTTTCTTGTTGATGAGTTTGTTTAACTTCTTTACGCGTCTTTCTTTTACTGTTGTGAACTCTTTTTCAAAAAATGGAGTGATGTGCTCCCGCTTCCTGGTCTTCATCAGGACACGTGCTGCTGAATTTTATAAAAGTTGTAAACCTGAGATGCTCTTTTTGGGAAGACCAGAAAGCAGGGCATGACGGTAGTCTGTTGCACTGGTGATAAAAGCATGCATCTCACTTTTAATGGAATGTTTTCATTTGGTAAAACATTAGATTTCATAGAGGTCCCGGCTCACGTCAGACCTGCCACAGGGGCCCAAGTATTGTGTTGCCCCGGGGCTGATGGCAGTAAGGTTAGCTTGAACCTTGACGACTTAATTTTCTGTCAGATGAGAGTTATTGTGATTATGTTTGGGTTGTGAATGTTGGACGTGGTCTCACCTGCGTCTGTAATGATCAGGGTCATATTTTCTCTGTAGTTATCTCCTCCAGAGGTAACCCTCACAGTGTACTCTCCAGAGTCGTTTTTGGTCGCATTCAGCAGGGTCACGAGGACAGTGTTGTTCGTCGGCTGGCAGCTGCTGATCACTCGGTCGATGAATTGTGGATCCTGGTCTCCTCGGTGTGTCTTGTGCCCATCTCTGTAGTAAAAGACGAACTTAGGGGAGTTCTCTCTCTTCAGTGAAATGGAGTCTACCACGCTGGAAGGCAGTGGGAGTGCCAGAGTGACGTTCTCCCCCACATGACCCGTGAACTTCAGATGATCTAAGACATGAAGAGAAAAGTCACATCGCTTCTACAAGCCAAACCTAAAATGTAGCGCTTTCTAAACATTTATGATCTCTCATTTATGGTCTCTCTGACTCTTCCTTCACTCACGCTGCCAAACACATCCTCGTTAGCGTAACGGGTATCGAGGGAACAGAGTCCGGGACCTGGTGACTAAGCTGCTTTCTTTGACGTCTCAGTTCGAGTTCAACATCTCTGTGGGAGACCGAGCAGCGCCATCTGCTGGTGAACCCCCCCCCCCCCCCCCCCCCCCCCCGTTACTTAGAGGAACATTTTAGAGATAAAATACGTGTTCAACTAAACAAATAACATCAAAGTGACACATTAGGGGTCACGGAGGCACAGGAGTACTCGTCCTGAAATCAGAAGGTTGCAGGTTCGAGCCCCGCTCAGTCGCTGTCGTGTCCTTGGGCAAGACACTTGCATGGTGATCAGAAGGACCGGTGGCGTCCGTGCACAGCAGACTCGCCTCCGTCAATGCATTCTACGGCAGCTGTGGCTACAATGTAGCTCATCACCACCAGGGGGTGAATGTGTGTGTGTGAATAACTGATTGTGTTGTAAAGCGCCTTGGGGGGTTCCTAGGGCTTTACATGGAGCTATACAATTACAGGCCATATTCTCAGTTCTGCTCTGTTCTGGCCTAAAACATGGACGTTCATCGTTATGCCGCCAACGCCCCTCAAGTGTGATAGAAGTAAAAATATGTCAGAGCTGGCATTAAAATCCACATTTTCCTCTGGATCGAGCTAACGGGTCTTCCTTGGCCTACATTACTCCTGGACTGGCAGAAAAAACCTTTCCCCTACAAAAATGACGTTAAGGGTTGACATCCATCCGTAGACCGAGCGGGCCAACAAAACACGCTCCACCGTCCCACCCATCAAACTCCATCACAGCAGGGTGCTTCCCCACCGAACCCTGCATGACCGATGTGTTACGATAACTTCTTCCATCTGTCCTCTCTGTGATCCTGTATGCATGTATATTAGTGCAAATATTCTTCTGAAGACGTTTTACTTCCTGCCTTTCATTCACATTTTTGTGCCGTTTTATTGGTTTTCTTTCTGTGGTGGAACGTCATTTTGGTGCGCCACCTCTAAGCCGTGAACCCCGGGTCATGCTTGTAAATGACAACCTGATCGCAGACATTTTACCTGTTATTGTAAACAGATGTTTGTCCTTTAGGGTGTTTTGTTTGCCGTTTTTATTTTTAGTGTGTGAAAACAGAATAAAAACACTACTAAAGTTATTTTTAAATAAGTTAAATAGTTCAACCGTCTCTAAAGAACTGATGCACACACAACTGCGGCTCCTCTGGTCACGTGACTGACGTGGTGAAAAGGTACCAGACGGACCTGACGGGAACCGAACTGCTCCGCCTTCTGGGGAGACAGATTCACTCCCTGGCTTTAGTCGCTTCTCAGTGGTAGCAGCTAGCCTGCTAGCCAGCTCAATGCCGGTGTTGTGCCAAAAAGCGACTGGCTGCCAAAAACTGACCAGCCACCGCGGGATCGCGCACGGTTAGGGTAATTGCTTTTCTAGACAAAATTCCCCAGGATTTAGCCTTAAAACTCGGCATATCTAGCAATATGGACATTGAGAAAGCAGAGATAAACATCTGTTTAAGTACCGGACGAGGTTATTGCAGATATTAGGTTTTCCAGTTGGGAAGTTGTTTTAAATGTTGCTATTTGTCTTAAACGTTCACAATGAGGATATATTAATACTTTTGGCAATATTTGCGATTGAAAGGTGGATTGTGGTAAGAACTGGCTTTCTTTATGTTACAGCCGTGATACTAAAAAATAAATAAACAATGTAAAATGGCGCCCTGTATTGAATGTAAACGTTGTATGAATGGAAATAAACAATTCTCCAGCGATTTGATTTATCCCCTTCCTTCTTTAGTCCACTTGACATGGAGCCACTGTTAACTAGTTTGGGGCACATTTTTACTTGAAAAATAGTATTTAAACTGATCAAGCTTTGGCTTTAATGACACTGTGTAGGTTACTATCTATTCATTACGTTGCTCTATTTAAAAGTAACAAGTATCTCGGGGTCTTGTTCACGAGTGAGGGTAGGAGGGATCGGGAGATCGACAGGCGGATTGGTTCGGCGTCTGCAGTGATGCGGACGCTGAGCCGATCTGTCGTGGTGAAGAGGGAGCTGAGCCAGAAAGCCAGGCTCTCGATTTACCGGTCGATCTACGTCCCAATCCTCACCTACGGTCATGAGCTTTGGGTAATGACCGAAAGAACGAGATCGCGGATACAAGCGGCCGAAATGAGTTTCCTCCGTAGGGTGGCCGGGCTCAGCCTTAGAGATAGGGTGAGGAGCTCGGACATTCGGGAGGGACTCGGAGTAGAACCGCTGCTCCTCCGGATCGAAAGGAGCCAGTTGAGGTGGTTTGGGCATCTGGTCAGGATGCCTCCTGGACGCCTCCCCGGGGAGGTGTTTCGGGCATGTCCTGCCGGCAGAAGGCCCCCGGGTCGACCCAGGACACGTTGGAGAGGTTACATCTCCAATCTGGTCCGGGAACGCCTTGGGGTCCTGCCGGAGGAGCTGGTGGAGATGGCCGGGGAGAGGACGGCCTGGAGCTCCCTAGTTGGGATGCTGCCCCCGCGACCCGGACCCGGATAAGCGGAGGAAGACGACGACGACGAAGATAATATCACTTCAGCACATAAAATTAAGATTGTCACTTGCCAAATAGAGACTACACCCTCCTGTTTACCTATAAGAAACGCCTCAAAATATCTTTAAATTCTTTATTGATGATTTAATTGTAGACAACTAAAATGGCATTTTACTTGCCAAAAGGTGATTACAGTGTCCTGACCACCTGTAAAGGGTTAAATTTACCTAAATATTACCTTATTTATTATCTCTTGATGTTATTAGTTCCATCACAGGATGCTGGGTCTCCTCCACATTCATAAACAATTTTAGGCAAGGGAAATGATCTTTTTTTGCCATTTTTGGGCTGTTTTTTTTTGCCAAAAGGATTAATATATCCTCATTGTGAACGTTTAAGACAAATAGCAACACTTAGCTATCTACCCCCTGCTTCTCTAATTCTTGCCACTTGTTACATTAATAATTTTATCATGAGTGTTTTATTAGTTCTTATATTTGCTTATCTCTTAATTAATTTTTTTCTTACCTTCTGCACCAAAATACAGCAGCAATTTCCTAATGTTGTGATTTGGCACACGTATGGCAATAAAAACTTCCGATTCTAAAACAACTTCAGAACTGGAAAAACTAATATCCGCGATAAACATCTGTTTAAGTACCGGAAGAGGTCATCTCTGCTTTCTCTATGTCCATATTGCTAGATATGCCGAGTTTTAGGGCGAAATCCTGGGGAATTTCGTCTAGAAATGCAATGACCCAGCAATTACCCTAGCCGTGCGCGATTCTTTTTGGCACAACACCGTGCTAACGGTGTAGTCTCGGGCTTAGAAACAGGTGACGACTGTAATTAGCTGCTGTTTAGTGTAAAGACAAGCAGATGAGCAGCGAGAAGAGGACAGACCCGCAAAAGGCTTTATAGTGCGGGTAAATGGCCCTAAATAAGCGCAACGTAGGCTAACCTTAGCTAATGCTAACGTAACTCTATGGGCTCAACCGGTGAGTTGTACAGAAATAAACACACATCCTGTATATCAGCTGTGATATAAACTCACCGTTAAAGCCAGAAGTAGTTAGGCAGGCGAGGAGAATGGCGATGATTATCACTACAGTCATTTTCTCTACTTCAGAAGCTAGCGCGTAATGAATGACACACTTCCGTGTTCTGAAGCCTGCTGAAAACGCGAGGTCGCGAGCCCACCTTTTGCTTTTAAACTTACCTCCTTTTCTCCTGTGAAGCCCATGAAAACCAGAAGGGGGCAGCAGATCAGCGAATCTGTCACCATTTATAACGACTTTTCAGACCCCCGTAACGACTGTTTTTCAAAAAAGCGCCTAGCGACAATTTGGTGACATTTCCGACCCTCCTCAGCTACTTCGACTACAACTTTGTTGCCGACTTTACCCGCAGATTGGAGATACATCCGAAGCGACAGGACCGCCCTTCCTCCGGACTCAGAGGATCAGAAAGAAAATGATCTGCGCATGTGCGTGCAGCATGATCACGCTACCCCCGTTGACCAATCAAAACCATTTGTGGGTTTTCACCCGCCAACTAATAAATTTGTCTTACAGAGAAAATAAATTTAATTGTACAAAAGAAATATCCAAGTATTTAAGACCAATCTTTTCCTTTTGTTAGTCACACACTGGCCACCCACCAACAGATATCCACCTATTTTCAGACTTTGTATCAGTTCTATAGAGAATCGAACATACATTAAACAGCCTTTTTAAAGGCTACTTTACACTGTTTACTTTTGCTTAGAAAGCAATAATTTCTTTATTTCCTATATACGTTTTTCATCTTTTAAACACTTATTTTTTATTATCTTTATTTCATTCAATAAAAAAATAACACAACAGATACTAAACAATATTCATAAAAACACAATATATATTTGAATGAAAGGGAACAGATAGAAGAAAAATCTTATTATTTCTGCCCCCTTTTTAAACTTAAATATCAATTTATATTTGTGCAGTCCCTCACCAGTTCTTTCAGTCCCGTAACTGTTCACATTTGTTAATTAGTATGTCCACATCCTTCCTCTTTCTAAAGTGTCCCCAGCCTTTTTTTATTGCTTACCATTTATTAATTTCTCAGTTCACCTCACATTTTCCCCAACTCAAAATAAAAAAAATTGTTTTTACTTCTTTCATCCTGTCCCACCTCCTTGTTTTCCCTTCATCATAGTGACACAGATTTCGATAAAAAACAGACATTTAACATTTTATTACACAAATTGGCAAAGTAAATACATTACAACAATGACACAACCAAAATCCTATTTCCAAAAGTACCGCACAGAATGGGAGTCACTACCTGAATTTAAAGGTTGGCTGAAACCACATGCAGGTAGCGACATTAGAGCTACCTGCATGCACTGCAAAACAGACCTCTATGCAAAGTTGTCAGACATTAAAAAGCATGCAGCTACCCAGAAGCACATCGAGAAGGCTAACCCCGGGTTTCCACGGGAGCCGTCAGCAGCACGTTACTGCAGCAGCACGTCTTGCTGGCGTAAACTGCTGCTTGGCCCTTCCCACGAGACGCGAAGCAGCAGGGGAGCAGCTGTCACCGACCGAGCACAAAGTCACACGAGTGACTTCGTCAGTAAACACAACAACAAGCAGGAGAAAGCTACAACATGGTTTGTGTTTTATGTTCTGTCCGTTTTATAATCGCCCACACGGACCTGAAAAACAAAGGAGACCGCTAGCTAGGTGATAACTTCTCACGGGGACGCACAGTTAGTAACCTTTTTTAAAATTAAAGCAACCGGAAGGCAGTACGTTCTTTATTCTGAAAATCTCGGGAGCTTCTCTCCATTTCCGCGTCCGATTTCCTGTCTTTCCTTCCCCAAAAATGTCGAACTTGACCCGTTTCAGAGGCGTCGCGCGTAGAAAATAGAACCGGCGCGTAAAGGCCGCGACATGCTGCTCCTGAGACGCGGCCGACTCGCGCTGCTGACGGCTCCGGTGGAAAGCCGGGGTAAGCCTTACAATCAGGCAAGCCAACCCAAACTGACATTCGTTGCCAAAAAAACGGACACACTGAAGCAGGCAGAGGCCGCAATGGCTTTGGCTATCAGTGATCACTGCTCAATTTTGTCATGTGACCACATTGGTTTAGCATGCAAAGCAGCTTTCCCTGATTCTAGTATTGCCCAAAACTTTCGGATGCACCGTACCAAATGCACCGAGATGATAAATGGTGTTTTGGCTCCATATTTCATACAGCGGTTGGTGGCTGACATAACAAATACAGCCTTTTGCTTGATGAAAGCTCAGATGTCAGTGTCTCCAAATATCTGGGCATTGTGGTTCGCTATTCTAGTGAGGGAAAGGGACACGTGGTGGACACCTTCCTTGGCCTTCTTGAGCTGGAGGGAGGGGCCATCAGTCTGGCCTTGAGAAGGAGAACCTGCTTGGCACTGGAGCAGACGATGCATCAGTAATGACAGGGATATACAATGGTGTTCACAAAATTCTTAAAGAAGAAATAAAACACCTTGTTCTCATCCGCTGTGTATGCCACTCCTTGCAAATGGCTGCCAGCTCTGCCTCCAAAACCACTCTTCCTCGCAGTGTTGAGTTCCTGCTCAGGGAAACCTACAATTGGTTCTCCATCTCCCCTAAAAGAAAAGTTATGTTATGAAGGTCAATCTGTTTCAAAAAGCACAAACTTGTAGATCTGTTGTGTGTATTTGTACTACATGATGGGTGCTTGAAAACAGTGTGTGTGCGTGCGTGCGTGCAGTACAGCGTGAGGAGCTGTACATCAACACCCGTAAACCTGTAAAGCTAAATATGCACCTGTAAGAAACACTCACATGCATTTGAAATAAAATACAGTTGTGTGTGACATTTTCAACTACAAGTCTGTAAACACATGTGTACAGATCTGTTTCTGCACACGCTCAACTCTTTTATTACAATTGCACAGCTTTCCTCTCACACATCTGATTTTTGAAACTATTTTCACGATTAATATGTGTCAAAATGCACAAGTTTGTAAATGTGTTGTCTGAGTCCGTACAACACAATGTGGGCTTGAAGATTGGATGTGAGTGTGTGCACCGTAAAAGGTGAGCTTGAAGTTTTGAGGTGAGTGTCTGTGCATTAAAACGTGAGAAGCTGCACATCAACATGTGTGAAATTGTGAAGATAAATGGTACTTGTAAGAAAAAGTAAATTGTATGTGAAACAAAATAAACTTACATGTAAAATCTTCTTCTGCGACCCAGTAAATACAACTTCTCAAATACGTTTCTGCGCATGCTCAGTTGTTGTTTTACAAGCACACAACTCTCCTCTCGCGAGTCTGACTTTTGAAACACTTCTGGCAGGTTGTGTGCTGCAAATTGCAGCTGTGTGTATCTGCAGAGGCGAGTGGAGCAGGGGATGAGGGCGAGGGTGGGGGCGGAAGGAGGAGCCACAGAGGGAGGGTTGTCATTGGTCGGCTCTGGTTTCCAGGACAACAGGCTCAACCAATCAGAGTGAGAGCTGCGTTTTTCCCTCGGCTTTCAGTCCGCTGCTGTCTGCAGTTCGCGATGGCTGAACGAGCTGGGGTAAGTACATTTCAAAGGGCTTTCTAAACGTATTTTAGTCATTTCCTCGTCTTTTTATTTAAACAAGGTGACACACTAACATAACATCATGCTATTTATACCATTATTAAGGCCTTATTATAAGATATTTGTACAAATATGTAGTCTAGCTAAAGTTTATATGAGCTGCTTTGCTAAGTTAGCAGAAACAAAAACGTCACTGCTAACACTGAAGTCTTGCATTAAGGCCACTGTGTTTGGGTATAATCCCAGGGGTGTTTCTCAATGTCATGGATTTGAGGACACTGTCCTTCCTTGGTCAAAGAAAACAGTTAAATGGAGCTGACTTGCGTCACGTGACCAGGGCTCCCGTGACGGTCACGTGACTTGCGGCAAAGTTATAATTATACTTATAAGTTGTATACTGAGCGTTTTACTGTTTAAATTGCGTATATATTGCTTGAATTACATGTATAAGGGAGTTACTAATTGCTGGCCATCGGAGCTGCAACGATTAGGCAGCACCAACTAACCAACTTCTGATTAAAAAAATAAACATTTTAGATATCAGCCTGATAGTTACAATTAGTTTTTTTTTTATTCACTAGTAAAACAATAAAAAGTAATCATTTGAAACCTTTAACTCTTGTTTCCTTTCTCGGGGATCCTATTTTCAGGCACTGTTTAGACCAGCGGTACTCAGCTGACAGCCTGTGGGCCACGTCCAGCCCGCAGGTTCATTCTTTGTGGCCCTTGGTCCACCAGGACAGGGATGCACTGACATCTGGCCAGATGTCTTACCTGTCGTATTCCGATGCCAGGAAAAGGCAGATTGCAATGCTGAGGTATTCATTTCTTAAAACTCAATAAATATGAGCATTTCCTGATTTCACTTTTTAATCATATGCTATTTTATTTTGTCACATTCAGATGGTTCTGGACCACATCACCTGGCCGGATGAAGAAGAGCTGGAGGATGACAGCGAATCTCCTCTTGCTGTGAAATGTTTGATCACAAGCTACTTGCGTAGATTTGTTGAGACAGGTATTTGGCTTTTTTCTGGTTACACTCAAACTACAACTTTATTTATAAAGCGCTTTTCAAACAAAAAACTGTAACTCAAATAGCTTCAGAGGAAGAAAAAAAATGACCCACAGATTGAAAAGAGTCATTGTCAATTGAATCCCCCTTCCCCGACCCAGTAACACGCATATGCACACACACACATACCCACATGCACACACAACACATTAGAGAACATAAGCAAACACTGGGCAGAGCTCAGATGAGTCAGCAAACGCCATCAGGCGAGCCGTCTGACCCAACTCAGTAGATCCACGGCAGCAGCCAGGGCACCGAGACAGGGCTCACAGAGGAGGGAGGACAAGGGCCCCCACCTACACCCAAGCACTACCTGGAGAGCACCCAGGCCACTGCCGCTGACCACCGGCCCTGAGGCAGAGGGCTCCCACTGAGGAAACGCTGTAAAGTATTAGAATAAGTAAAAGAATGAAATAAAAAAGGTAATGTATGAATAAGTAGTGACCAATATAATTGTAGAAATAGTAAAACAATATCAAATCATAAATATATAACAAAACTTTCTTAAAATATAAGAAATTTAATCATAAATAATAAGCAGTTAAAAGCTAAGCTAAAAAAGTTCATTCTTCGGCCTGCTCTTAACATTTCTCTCTGGTCCTGAGGTCCTCAGGCAGCCTGCTCCAGAGGCAAGGGCCATTATATTGTAAGGACGCCTGACCATTGTTGTTCGTCCTGACATTCGGGATCACAAGGCGATGGCTGCAAGAGGAGTGCAGAGGACGTGAGGGTTTGTATGGTAAAGTCAGTTCAGAAAGGCTAGAAGGGCCAAGACCATTAAGACACTTTAAAACCATTACAAAAACCTGAAAATCATTGGAATAAACCTTAAAGTCATTATAGGTTTATTCCACTTCTATCTTTAAACAGTTGTCTTTCACAAAATGTGTACAATCAAACTATTTTAGAAGCCTTAACCCTCCCACTGTCTTCATGGGTGACCCCACCAGGACAGACCTCACCCCTGCCACATGGACCTCAAGGGATAAACCATCAACCCTGCTCAGTGGTCAACTTTCCTGGTGGGGTCACCCATGTAGACAGTGGGAGGGTTAAAATGAGTAAAGTGTTTTATACGACACAGCAGATAAGGTGGGTTTGCTACATTCTAAGTATCTTGTGTAAACATGGCACAGAAGATCTTTTATATCTCATTTGTCTTTGCCATTTTTTCTTTTCTTTTTCAGTGTCTGAAGAGCAAAGGAAGCAGCTCGTGAAGTTTTGGGTTGGATGGGAGAAACCCATGAAGGATATGAAAGTGGAAATAATGCAGGCAGACCATCCAACCTCATCTAGCTGCTTCCATATTCTACGTCTGCCCTGCCACTACACAACATTTGATGTTTCGCAATCATCTTGAAAGTTGCATAGCAACCAATGTTCATGGTTTTGGATTGATCTAAAGTTTAACGTCATGCTATTTGCCAGTGCTGTTCAGGTTATACCAAACAAATCTTTTTTTTTATTTAACCATCAAGTTACAGCTGAAAGTTTCAGGAATATTGTAAGGCACAGCTGTGTTATATGATAAATGTTTTATTGTAATTTTACAAGTAGAGAAATCATTTTCAAGATTGCATTTTATACATATGCAACAAACAAAACATTGCTGCATCCAGGGTCGTGACAATGGAACAATATTTTTGTAGCTTAATGCTAAATGTTTTTTCCTGTCACTTGTTCAAGATGTTATTAATAAAAAATTGTTTTTAAAACTTAAAACATTTTATTGAATTCACAAATGATTGTAACCTATATTAACACGTTAGACTTGCAGGTTTTTAAAAAACAAAAACATCAAATTGCAACAAAACTATTCTCACAAATTTGGGAATTTCAATATCCAAGAGAATAAGAAAGGGCAGTTAGATTTTTAGTACACACAAGAAGATTACTATAATTTTAACTGAAGAAGGTTTAATTCTTTTAGTTTGCCATCGAAGAATATTAACATGCAAACATTTTCAAATGCTCATGAGTCATTTAATCTGTACTTTCAAGTTCAGATGTGGTAAGAGAAAACATGGAGATTAAAATAACGTGTTCAGTTAGATAATGGAGACTTATCAAGATCCTTCACAGACATTTTATACAAGTCATTGATGACAAGATGCAAAAAATGAAAGATTTTAGTATAGCCAATGGTTTGCATGTAATGCCGTGTGGCTAAATAACTGTCAATCCCAAGATTGACCTCAGTGGATCCACAGCCGCACAGAGTCCAGAATATTCTCCTGGACTTAGCGGGCATTCAACTTCTGGAACTTGAGCACCAGAGTTGTGTTCATTTTCGATGAGTCACTGGATTCCCATTCAATCTGTGGAATGTAAAGCTCCTGCAATAAAATGATTGTGGGCTAGGCACAGAATACTTTCTTCTGACCACACAGCGGAGATGGGACGTTCAGGAAACCACGCCTGCAGTGTCTAATCTGCGCATAGAGGACCGAACACGCTCCCACTGAAGTCTATATCCTTGTGACTTCAGCAGACCTTTCATCATGGTGTCTTGAAAAGCACAATATAAGTTCAATGCATTATTATTATTATCAATCTATACCCTGCATTTGGGTTTCTGGCATGGATCTGTGACACTAGAGAGTCTAGCTCATCGTGAGTCATGGTGCTGTAAGTTTGGCTCACACTTAAACCCCATTCTTTCACTCGCCTGTGTAATGTAACTCTAGATATCCCCAGCAGCTGTGCAGTACACGTGACAGGTAAACCTAAAGAAATGAGGTGTTGTGTGTATTTCTCAGGAATAAGTAGTTTGGGACGACCAATGGCTCCTCTTTCGTGAGCAACAATAATTTGTGCTTTTTTATTTATATATATACGCAATTTAAACAGTAAAACGCTCAGTATACAACTTATAAGTATAATTATAACTTTGCCGCAAGTCACGTGACCGTCACGGGAGCCCTGGTCACGTGACGCAAGTCAGCTCCATTTAACTGTTTTCTTTGACCAAGGAAGGACAGTGTCCTCAAATCCATGACATTGAGAAACACCCCTGGGATTATACCCAAACACAGTGGCCTTAATGCAAGACTTCAGTGTTAGCAGTGGCGTTTTTGTTTCTGCTAACTTAGCAAAGCAGCTCATATAAACTTTAGCTAGACTACATATTTGTACAAATATCTTATATTAAGGCCTTAATAATGGTATAAATAGCATGATGTTATGTTAGTGTGTCACCTTGTTTAAATAAAAAGACGAGGAAATGACTAAAATACGTTTAGAAAGCCCTTTGAAATGTACTTACCCCAGCTCGTTCAGCCATCGCGAACTGCAGACAGCAGCGGACTGAAAGCCGAGGGGAAAACGCAACTCTCACTCTGATTGGTTGAGCCTGTTGTCCTGGAAACCAGAGCCGACCAATGACAACCCTCCCTCTGTGGCTCCTCCTTCCGCCCCCACCCTCGCCCTCATCCCCTGCTCCACTCGCCTCTGCAGATACACACAGCTGCAATTTGCAGCACACAACCTGCCAGAAGTGTTTCAAAAGTCAGACTCGCGAGAGGAGAGTTGTGTGCTTGTAAAACAACAACTGAGCATGCGCAGAAACGTATTTGAGAAGTTGTATTTACTGGGTCGCAGAAGAAGATTTTACATGTAAGTTTATTTTGTTTCACATACAATTTACTTTTTCTTACAAGTACCATTTATCTTCACAATTTCACACATGTTGATGTGCAGCTTCTCACGTTTTAATGCACAGACACTCACCTCAAAACTTCAAGCTCACCTTTTACGGTACACACACTCACATCCAATCTTCAAGCCCACACTGTGTTGTACGGACTCAGACAACACATTTACAAACTTGTGCATTTTGACACATATTAATCGTGAAAATAGTTTCAAAAATCAGATGTGTGAGAGGAAAGCTGTGCAATTGTAATAAAAGAGTTGAGCGTGTGCAGAAACAGATCTGTACACATGTGTTTACAGACTTGTAGTTGAAAATGTCACACACAACTGTATTTTATTTCAAATGCATGTGAGTGTTTCTTACAGGTGCATATTTAGCTTTACAGGTTTAAGGGTGTTGGTGTACAGCTCCTCACACTGTACTGCACGCACACACACACACACACTGTTTTCAAGCACCCATCATGTAGTGCAAATACACACAACAGATCTACAAGTTTGTGCTTTTTGAAACAGAATGACCTTCATAGCGCCGGGCGTACAGCACACTTAAACCACACATTAAGAACAAAACTTCCTCCCAAACCGATTAACAGGTGCTTGACAAACACATCTTGACACGGTTTTCTCCCATTTTCACCTGTTTATCGCTCTTATATGAGGACACTAACCTGTTAAAAACAGTCAAATGAGCAGACGGGACATCAGTATGGTGTTGCTGCGTCAGCTCCTCATTGCAGAACGAGGAAAAGCTAACAGCTGCCCAGTATCATACTGCCCTCTACTGGCATTAAGGTGTATTACCTTTACAGAACAGTTTACAAAGACTAATAATAACAATGTCCTTAGAGACTCTAAGTTTTTTTTATTTTCCTTTTAGCCTGGAATCCATTAAATATATATATATTTTTTTCACACAGGAATAAATTACATCAGATGGTTAAAGCATCAATACGAAAAATGTGACCACATCTTTCTGTGTGCGTCACACATGCAAATAGTTTATTAGCAAGTTCATTATTTAAGATAGCCACCGGAGCTAGATAAAGGGCGACCACTCCTTCCGCCATCCTTCGGCAGCTGAGCTCGGCTGGCACTGGCAGGCTGACCGCAGGGCAGCGTCGCTATCGCACAGGGCTGCTGGCTTCTCGCACCACTTGTGGTGCATTCAAGGAACATTGGACCTCTATGATGAGTTCAAAAACGTTGCACATTTTAAACTTTTATAAAAAAACAGAATAATACTGTAAGACAAACACCTCAGGTCATT